GTCTCAGCATAATTGCTGTTTTACAGCAGGTTCCTGTTCTGCAGCACATAAACACTCAGAAATTTAAAACCACACACTGAAACGGCCTGGGTCGGATTAGAAAACATCGGATTTGTCGCGTTCAGACTGTCATAAAAAAATCGGATATGAGTCAGATGGGTCAAAAAAATCAGATTTGGGTTGGATTTGCCTGCAGTGTGAATGTAGCCTTAGTTTCAGCGGGCGACGCTCCCCCTCCCCCTCGAACGATTGGTCGCAACAGTGCGACCGGACATTTTTTTTAGTCGCACTATTAGGAAATCAGGTCGCATTTGCAACCAAATTGGTCACACTCTACAGCCCTGTAGGAAGTTTGATGTTAGCACAGTTTTAAAAAATAAAGCTTTAATCCATTTTTGAGGGAAGCCAGAAATAACTATTTTAATGTGAGGGAGGCTGAACAGTGATATCAACTTGACCAAGAGTCAAGAAAAATACTGACCTTCTCTCGCTCCTCGAACAACCAGAAAAACGGAGTCATGGCCCCCACATCCAGGGCGTGTGTGCCGACGGCCATGATGTGGTTCAGGATGCGGGTCATCTCTCCGAACAGCACTGGAAATACACGGGGTGGAATCAATCAGACCTGAGGCCAGTGTTTAGAATTTGTGCCCACCAGTCCAGATCAGCCAACCATAGATGAGGCCTTGTTTTCAGTCAAAACGTCTCTCAATGGTTGGACATCCAGGGTTTTTTGTTTTTCTCCCTTTCTAAAACTCTACCCGTGCACATCTCCTGTATCTGCTTTGTTTTCAGCTTTAACTGACCCGTATATTTTACAAAGCCACAGCAGAAAATAATCCTGACATCCTAATTTCAGTAACACCACAGAAGTAAGCTCTTCTGAGCTGTGATGATGATCTTTACTGCATGTCTCAAATGTGACAGCAGAGCACCACCTAGTGGGCTGGAAACTGTAAAGTAGTTTCTGTTTCATGACATGGTCACACWGACCAGTCTGTCTTTAAGTTCCCTCGGGYCTTTCATAAATCACAGGTGAAGCTGACAAGACCCCGCTTTGATGAAAATGTTCAGAAATGAACCGGACCAACTGGAACACACAAAGATGTGGAGCAGAACTCAGCTGGGATGAAGTGGAGCGACACATTTACTGTGTGACGGACGTCCGCATTGAATCGATCACAAAACATACCGTTATTTTACCAATCCTCTTTGTGGTTATCATATGCATGTATGAGAAATTTAACCCAGGAAGTGTGTATGTATGTATGTGTGTGTGTGTGTGTGTGT